GCTGCTTTTGAAACCAACACTAGTGAAAACTGAGCTCGGTTTGGCATACCAGGCTCGTGGGGACTGCTTTAGGCCATAAATGGCTTTGTGCAATCTGCACACCACATTCGGTTCATTGCTTTGTAGATGCCCTGGTGGCAATTTCATATAGACTTCTTCTTTGAGATCACCGTGCAAGAATGCGTTCTTCACGTCCATTTGGTACATGGACCATCCTTTGTTTACAGCTACAGATAATAACACTCTTACTGTGTTCATTTTGGCCACAGGTGCAAACGTTTCTTTGTAATCAACCTCAAATGTTTGAGTGAATCCCCGAGCCACCAGTCTTGCTTTATGTCTCTCAATTGAACCATCTGACTTGAATTTGAGTTTATAAATCCATTTGCAACCTACTGCTTTCTTGCCTGTTGGAAGTTTGGTGATGCTTCAGGTATTGTGTTGATCTAGAGCTTTAAGTTCTTCTTGCATTGCCTCTTTCCACACCTCTTGGCTGTTGGCCTCGTTGAAATTCTGAGGCTCCTGGTAACTAGATATAGTGCTTAGGAATGCAGCATGATTCGGTGTCACTCTCTTGTATGACACACAATTGGAGATGGGATGTGTGGGTCTGTACATAACAAAATCCTGAAGTCTTGTGGGAGTTTTTCTAACTCGCATTGGATTGCGTCGAGGAGCTGGAAGCGTTATTTCACACTCGTTCGCATCATCTTCATTGTCACAATTGTCATGCAGTGTATCCTCAGAGTGAGACCCTTCATTGCTATCTTCATTGGGAGAATCATCAACGTTGACATAACTGAGCTCGTGTTGATGTGGTTCCTCCAGTTCAATTCTTGGTAGTGGGAACACATCCAAGATGCCATCCCTTTGGGCTGTGATTTCATTTGACTTGCTGAAAAATGGGTTAGTTTCATAAAATCGCACATCTTTGGATACAATCAATCTCCTTAATTGGGGATTGTAACACTTATATCCCTTTTATGTAGAGGAATAACCAAGAAAAATACATTTAGCATCTCTAGGATCTAATTTATCTCGGTGAAGAGATTGAATATGCACAAAACAGATGCAGCCAAACACTCTAAGATGTGAGAGGTCAATTTTCCTTCCTTTCATGACCTCGAGTGGAGACTTGAATTCCAAGACTCGGCTGGGTAATCTATTGATGATATATGCAGCTGCCATAACACCTTGGGACCAAAATCTCTTTGGTACATTCATTTGTAGCATTAGTGCTCTTGTTTTTTCAAGTAGGTCACGGTTTTTGCGTTGGATACACCATTTTGTTGAGGTGTTCCAACACAACTTGTTTGATGCATGATGCCATGAGTGCTCAAATATTGTTTCATGATATGGGACATATATTCGGTGCCATTGTCAGACCTTAAGGTTTGAATTTGAGAGGAGAAATGGTTTTTAACAAGGTTATGAAAATCCTTAAAAACTTCCATAACTTCATTCTTAGACTTTAAGAGATATAACCATGTGACTCGAGAGAAGTCATCCACAAAAATCACAAAATACTTATAGCCATCAAATGATTCACTAGTTGGTCCCCATACATCTGAATGAACTAGTTCAAAACACTTACTAGTTCTAGACAAGGAAGATTTAAAAGGTAGTCGAGTGGATTTAGACAAGTGACATGTTTCACATGAAATATCATCCTTTCCTAAGTTTGGAAATAGAGTTGACAAAATGGGTGAAGAAGGATGAGCTAAACGTTGATGCCACAATTGATTATCTTGAATGTGGTTTAGCTTGGCTTGAAACCCTCTCGGATTGCTCTTTGATATGTAATAGAGACCATCTAAATAAAACCCTTCACCAATCGTCTTCTTGGTGACACAATCCTGAAAAATAACATTGTGAGGAGAAAAAATGGCTAAGCAATTCAAGGTATTTGTGATCTTTCCCACAGATAGAAGTTGAAATGGGAAGGAAGGAACATATAAAGCCATTGATTCAATTTTGTCTGACATTAATTTTATTTTTTCCTTCCCTAAGACCTTTACATTCTCACCATTTGCAATTGAAACTTGAGAAGGGTTTGCAAATTTTTCAAATTTTTGAGACTTAGACACATGGTTGGTCATATGATCTGTGGCACCCGAATCTACAACCCAAAAATCATGCAACATATTTATTTTAAGAGCAGTTTTAAAGGCTTTCATGATACCTTGCATGTCCTCTTGGGGTACGGATTTCGTGTCTGCCAAGAACCCTGCAAACTTGCTGAGCAATAGCGTCGAGTTCCCTTCTTCTATGCTATCAGCACAATCACTTCCAGCAACTCCTTTCTTGCTTTGAAGATATGACATAAACTCGTTCATGAGTTCAGCTGGATTTGCTGTGAAGTTCTTGAGTGGATCTGGCCCATTGGAGGTGGAGGTAGACGCATGATTCGCTCGATGTGGAGCACGGTTCATCCTTTGCACACCCTTGTTGTCCTTCATGAACTCAGGCTTTAACTCTGGGTGTAAAATCCAGCATGTGTCTTTGACGTGACCTATATTATTGCAGTGTTAACACTTCAAGTTCGGATGTTTTCCTTTGTAACTTTTTTCGTTGGTTATATATGCCCTAGCCTCAGGTACACTGGTCGATGTACCTATGTTCATGACTTTCCTTCTTACTTCTTCCCGTTGAATCGTCGCACACACACTGGTGAAAGAAGGAAGCTCAATGTTCATGAGTATGTGACATCGAAGGTCTTCATACGTTGAATCAAGACTGGACAAGAGTTGAAATATCTTGTCTTCTTCTGCTCTCTTTCGTAGCAGTGTTGCGTCGGTTGTATGAGGGCGATAGATTTCCAACTCATTCCACATGCTTTTCATGCTTCCTAGGAGTTGCACAAACGGTTTTCCATCTTGCTGCAGATCGGAGATGTCCTTCTTTAATTGGAAGACCCGTGCAGCATTGTTTTGGCTGCCATACATTTCCTTGACCGCTTCCCATAGCTGGTACGAGGATTCTGAATAGCTGAATATTTCAGCTAATTTACGATCCATGGAATTCAAAAGCCATGACATAACCAGCTGATCCTTGCTAAGCCAGGATTCATAGTTTGGTGAGGAAGCATCAGGTATTTTGATGCTTCCATTTATGAACCCCAGCTTGGACCTTCCACCTAGCGCCAAAGACACAGCTCTCGACCAAGGCAAGTAATTAAACTCATTCAACACGACTGAGCTTAATCTTTGATTTGGGTTGACGTCCACCTCATGCACGTTCATGGAGGAAGGCTCCTGTGAGCTTTCAGCTTCGGATATCAGCGGATTGCCTTCAGACATTTTGAGGATTGAACACGCTCGGATAGCAGTATAGCAGACGCAGGTTAATTTTCCTACTCTGATACCATATTGATTTTCAAGGATTGAATTGTATTTCTCTCATATGTTCTTTTACAATTGTACAGCAATATATAAGAGGATTAACCTCTTGCTCCTCTTGCTTTACGCCACAACAGGTGGCTTAGAAAAAAATAAAATAACAGCCCCTTGAATTAAGGGAGTTGATTAAGGGAGTTGACACCCTTGAATTAAGGAAGAAAGCACCCTTGTATTACGGAAGTTGTCTGGCTTAGGAAAAATAAATAACATTCCCTTGAATTAAGGGAGAAAGCCATTCCCTTGAATTAAGGAAGAAAGCGACTTCCATTCCCTTGAATTAAGGGAGAAAGCGACTTCCAATAATGCCTCTTAAGTTCAAACATCCCACTCTCCTTAGTATAGAGGATGATGCTATCCATACATCAATTTTTACCTCTCATAGACCCTCTCAAGTTTTGGCCGTCTAATTAAATGAATTGAAGAAGATCAGTGACAAAAATTAATAAAGGTGTGTGACAGGTAAAAAAAGTGTGTAAATCACTAGTACTATAAATCAGAATAGTAATATCTTTTGTAATTAATACAAAAATCGAGTAACTTAAACAAAGATTAAGTAAGGAAAAAGAATCAAATCAACCAACTATCTCTTAATAATATACTTATAGATTTTTACTAGCAATTGAGCCCCTGCGCGATGCCGCGGATTTTATGACCGTTTTAAAATGATATTATTTTACATATAATATGTTTATACTGAAAGAGATGAATTTAAAGTGTTATTTACAAAAGAGATGATACTATTTACAACCAACTCAAATTACACTGACAGTCTGCTATTTGATCAAGTTTTTGACAAACCTGAACAGTAAAATAGACAAATCAATAGGTTGCAGGAGATGAATGAAATTTCAACTTGATTTACCATGAATGGAATAATGAAGAATCGACAATAACATTAAACATGGTAGTCACACAGATTAGGAACTCATCCATCTATAAGCCAGTCCTCATAAGTTCATTCACTTGCACGATTCTTTTAGCGTCTGATAAACAAAACGAAGTTCCTGTAAGTACTCCCTAACCACATGAGCAATAAAATCTTTTAAAGGGAATCCCAATTTTCTCCACATTAAAGAAAACCGCAAAAGCATTACTAATGACTATATCTGCAAACCAAATCTAGTTTTTTGTACCCGCTAAAGTACACATTTGTATTACTTGGAGAGCGAGTTTCTCTCCTCATTACTATAAATAAAGGCATAAGGATTGGAGAATTAACACACAATTCCTTAAGTCCATTCTCCACTCTCTCTCCATGCCACACCCCTTGGTTATATATAGGCCACAACAAGAGAAGTGATTTTCACTCTTTTTAGCCTCTCACACACTAGTCAAACATCTCTCTTTGTTTCTAAGAATCAGACTGAATAAATCGAAAAGAATTAACAGACGATTAAACAAGAGTGGGGAGATCAAGTGGAGTGCGCGGTAACCATTTCCCAATCAAAATTATTCCAATTCTCAAGTTCAACTCACATGTATGGGCGGGTACAAAATACATTTGTGATGAACTCGATTTCAACTCACGTTACAACTGATACTAACTCTTGGTTATGGAAACTTTTAGGTGCAGAATCCCCATCAAAAAACACAAATCATCCATACAGGAAACTGAAAATCTATATATCAAAACAGTGTCAATGATATTAGAAACGGAAAAAATCTCTGAAAAGCTAAAATTGATAAAAGATCCGATACAGTTTCGAAAAAGAAATCCATGATAAAATTGTAAACTAAAATTATTGCCTAAGCTGCACTCTGCTTCTTCAGTTTTGCAAGTTCATTTCTGACAAGCCCAGCTTTCTGCAAATGAGGAAAAGGGATTTAATTTGACAGAGTTCAACATGACAAAGATGAACAATTGCAACCGTCTACAGACATTCCAAACTAAGCCACATAAGGAAACATGCGATTTTACAGAAACGAATACGTAGTTTGAAACTTAGTAGTTATTAATGGCAAAATAACCAACCTTAATCTTAGCCAGCATGAGCTTGAACCGATCAAAGTCATTATTTTACAGAAACGAATACGTAGTTTGAAACTGAGTAGTTATTAATGGCAAAATAACCAACCTTAATCTTAGCCAGCATGAGCTTGAACCGATCAAAGTCATTAAGAGCCGCCCTTCTCTTCTGAACAATCAGTTTTCTACCCCACGAGCTGTTCTCCCACTTCTTCTTCACATCTGCCAACATGTATACAAATATTTAGAATAAAACTATGACATGAAAACAAGACTATTACCGTTTACAAGTTTTTGGGCTTACCAGCGGTCTCCATGGCAGCAAGCAGTTCCTTCTTCTTGGGGACCCTCTTGATTTCGATTTTGATGTCAGTCAGAGAAAGTCTCTTGAAATTCATTTGGGACCTCACCATATCAGGGGCATCAACCAGAGCCTACAGAGACAATTACTAGAGGATCAAAACACTGACGTCAATGCAGAAGAAACATAAAAAAAGATGACCAATCATACAATTACATATGGGCAGAGATTGAACTGGTTCTGATTGAAGCCCAATCCAACACCAATTAAAAATTATACAACTCAAGGAAATTCGGATCAGATTGGATTGGTAATCACATTATAATTTGCAGTGAAACGAAAAGTTTAGATAAAAATTTCTCACTGGCAAGTAGCAAAGTAACAAAATGCAAGGCCCAGAGGATAAGTTTTAAGAAATGCTAAAATTTAACCCTTCTAAAAGGAGACTCAATGAAACAGATTTTCGTACATTAAAACTATAATTCTAAAGACATCATAACATACACCCGAGAAATTATGCATAAAAAACACAATGGGAGAAGACGAAATTCTAAATTTTCGTATATCAATCCAAAACTCTTTCTTTACTAAAGAACCTATTATTCCATTAGTTCATTTGACCTCATTTATATATCCAAGTACAACTCAAACAACACAGTAAAGCCTTATTGTTTATGGAATTGTTGAGTTTGTCATAAATTGTTAGTTCGAGATTACGAAAACAATAGTAAAAACTCAACTCAGAGCACAGAATATGCTTACTAGCTCCAAAATTCTTGAGGAAAAAACAAATATATGTAGCACTGAAGCTTCCGAAGTACACCCAAATGAACACCAGTACAATTTCCCCCTATTTCCCCTCAAGTTTTGTACTCAGAAAAACAGAATGCGTAAAAAATTCAAAATTTACAAACAAATATTGAAATTTGATAAAATCAAATAATAAAAAATAAAATAAAATTGGAAAAAGGAAGGAGAAGGGTACCCTGTTCTGGTCAAGGACGTCGACGATGACGACGAGCTTCCCATAGTCCTCGCCGTAGTTGACGAGAGCCACCCTTCCGATCTCAACGTACCTCTTGAAAGGCTGTTTAAAAAAAAAAAAAAAAGACAGGATGAGATCCAAGAAGAACAACGAAACAAAGTCGTTTCTAGAGAGTATACAGAGAAGATAAACGCCATGGATTAGACGAGAGAGCTCACCATTTTTCTGGTTCTGTGTGACAGCTCTGGCAGTAGAGGAGGCGGAGCGGAGAAGAGCAAGTGTAGTCAAGGTCGGGGATTTAGGGTTTTGTCATTGTCATTGCGAACCAGAATTAATAATTTAAATTTGAGTCAGGTGAGTCCGGTACCCTCAAATGTTAAAGAATATTTATTCGAAATATATTTTATAAATCAAATATTGTGACAGTTTTAAAATTTTAGTAATTTTATAAGATTAATTTTAAAATTCTAATAATTCTGCCACATTTATTTTAGAATTTATGCACTTTTGCAAGATTAATTGCTAAATTCTAACATTTTTATAAGTTCATTTTCAAAATTTATTTATCCAAATATCAAAACCACAAAATTAAACACTTTTAGAAAATATAAACTAAAGAATAAAAAATAGAAAATCTCAATCATTCTCATAAAATCAAAGATCTAAAACACGCTAAGCGCTAATTAAGCAGTGGGTTAGAGTCTAGTGCCTAGGCGTCTAGGCAAAAGCCTAGGCGGACTAGATGGTTCTAAGTAAATTATCTATATTGTATAAGTAAGTGCCAATATATACTTAAAAAATACATAATTGTATTGGAATACATAAGTCGCAAAGTAGAATGACATTTATCTATATTATAAAGTATTAGAACATATTGAAAACATAGGGAATAAGCATATAATGAGTGTTCATCCAAGTATTATGCACCTACAAAAAAATAACACTTAAGATCAAGGCCAAGAGCCTCACGCGCCCACAATGAATTTTTTTTTGGGGGGGGGGCTTTGGCTGAAGAATCTCCGATGTCAAAGTTAGAATTTGAGAGAGAAAGTGTTTAGAGAATTTTAGGGAGAGAATGAACTTAGGTTTTTGGAGAAATATGAGACTATATATAGGGGTGTGGTTGGCCCTATTTAGAGAAATAAGGACCGGCCACTTATGGTGGTATTTTTAATATTATTGCACATATTATGTCAAATAATATCTTGCAATTAGTTTGGTAATTAATCCCAATTTGAAAGGAATAATTGGGAGTTATTTTGTGGGTGATAATTGGATGAGTAGTGATGAGGGGGGTTTCGAATAAATACCATATTGATCACCTTTGACCCCGATTGAGCCGTTATTGTTCGTTGTATGCATGTGGGAATCCCGATGTGCTTCAAGGGTAATTTTATCTTTTTCACCCAAAAGTCCACTTGTCGCCTTCATAATTTTCTTGATTATTTTTTGCTCCACATCTCTTACATTCTAGTGAAAAAATAAAATAAAATGCAACATGGAAGTAATTTATTTTCTATCTAAGTGATAGTTGTGACACAGGCGGGTCTAGGCAGGCTTCTAGGTTAGCTTGGTGAGCGCCTAAGTAGGTCTACGCGCCCTTTCTTAATTTTCAAATGCCTAGCATTAATCAAGGCGATGACCAACCGTCTAATGCTTAGGCAAGGCTTAAGTAGCGCTAAACAATAATTTTAAGAATAATGCATTAAAAAAAAACTCATAAATCTAAGGTATAACACAAAGAAGAAGAAGGGGAGAGAGAGAGGAGTATGAAGAGAGAAGGAACAATAAGAAGGAGGAGGAGAGAGAAAAAGAAAAGTAGGAAGAAGGAGGAGTGAAAGAGAGAGACACACCGAAGAAAAAAAAAAGAGAAATAAGGAGAAAGAAACTCATCTTTCAAACATAGAAAGGTAAAATTGTAAATGCAAAGCTAATTAGAAAAATAATTATGACATCACCGAGAAATTATTAGATGGTACACTACCACCACGTGGCATTGACAGCTAGTAGTACCCACCAATAAATGAATGACACATGGCATAATAATTATTAAATGAAAAACAATAGTTGGATTTTCATTTTCCCTAACACCGTTAGAGTTCTCTGCCAAAACCAATAACTGCTGCCCCTCGTATTCCACCTCCTTTTCCGCCTCCCTTTTCGCTTGAATCAAATCCACAAACTACAATCTTTCTTTTCCACCAAAACATAAAATTCCCTTCGCCTCTCTTTTTGCTTGAATCTCATCTCTTTTTGCTTGAAATTAAATCCATAAACTGCAAAAACCAGAAATCTCATGTTACAGGTACTGTAATTTTTTGCTTGAATTTTTTTTAATCCTATTTGGATTCTAGCTTGCATGAATTTTAGGGTTTGATTTAAGCATGCTTGAATCTGACTGCAGTTTCTTGCTTGAATTTTATTTTACCTTTTTGGATTCTAGCTTGTGTAAATTCTGGGGTGGGTCATCTTAGATTGTGTGTGTGTGTGTGTTTTTTTTTTTTTTTTTTTTTTTTTTTTGCTTATTTGGAGCATTTTCTTTTTACAATCGCTACATGTCAAGTAATTGCTCTGCTTATTCAATTAATTGGGGCACCAACTCTGTCTCTGTTCTTGTTTTCTTCTTAAACCTGAAATTTTTGTATTATAAATGTTAGGGAAATACTAGCTTTCTATTTAAAAAAGAGAGCTAGAGAGAAAGTAAAAGGTAGAGGTACTTGAAAAAATTACAAACGCGATACGCAAGACTTGAATGCTTTGTTTTATGGTTTGTGTCCTTTCTATTATTTATCGATTCACAAGACTTTGGCAATTTATGAGTCTAGTTAAACAAATTGGGTCTTAAAGTGTCTTTGTTTTTACTAATTCATTGTATTTGATTAAGTGGGATTTTGGTATGTGCCAGGAACTAAAAGAATGTCTATCAAGATCTGATGAAACTCCAGGAAATGCCCTATGTCCTTCGGGTATAAATCCATGGATTGAAAGAGAACTTCTATGAGAACTTTTTTCATTTGATTATGCTTTTCTCTCTAATGTTTTTTGGGGGTGTCAGATTGCAAGAATGAAAGACAACTTGAATTGGATTTTGGGTTGCTTCATATTACTACTTTCAGTTATAACTACTGTTCATTTTAGGTTAGATGTATAGAATTGGATTTGTTGTATCAAATGCTACAATTTTTTAGTGACATACAAAGTGTTAATAGCCTTTTGCTATTGTAAGTACAAGTGAGCCTATGGTTGTAAATTGTAATAAGACAAAACGGTATCTTATACAACTCATCATATGGCTGAATGATTTCTTATGCATTGACCTTTTGCTCCTTATATTCTTTATTCACTATGATATATTGCATGACAATACGTTACTCAAATGACAGGCGCACTCAATCTTAAAACGAGAAAGATATGGAAAAATAATTAAGAGCAAAGTTATTGTTTCCAGTGGCTGTAATTTCAATGCTTCCTACTCTTCAAAATAACAAAGTTGTCGACCAAATATTCACCACAATACACATCCGGTTCAAAATCAAAATAAGTAAAGGCTTCTAATAAAAAAATAAATAATTAAAGGATCTTCCACCTGCACCCAAAAATTATAAATCAAGTTTAGTAGTGAAAAACAAGAAAAATCTTAGGGTGACTTAAAAGCATTTAAAAGTAATTTACTCTTATTGTATTGTAGAAATTACTCCTCTGGATTATGTTGTAGAAATTACTCTTCCGTGACATGTACGAATTAGCTCAACATGTCGAGCAATACGACTATTTACTCTGAGAAAAGAAGGCTTCGAAGTCCCCGTCCAGAGGAACAATTTACAAAAACCCCACGGTCAGTTATACGTCGGCCGAAGCTGAAGAATATGCTAGTATAGACGCGGCCGATATAATAATTGACAAGCCATATATATGCAAGGCGTTGGCTCATGTCAATCCCAAAGATGCCAAAACTCGCTCGGCCCCTGAAGAGCCTCTTATCAAATCAACGAAAGTTTATACTTTCGACATTACTAAGGCCGACGCCATCTTTGATCAATTGCTACTTGCCAAAATTATCAAACTTCTGCCTGGGCATAATATCCCCAAAGCTGAAGAATTGAAAGGAAAAACGTATTGCAAGTACCATAACTTGAACAAGCACAAGACAAACAATTGTGTCGTATTTCAAGACGTCATCCAAAGTTGGATTGACAATGATAAACTCAAGTTTCCAGAAAAGAAAATGGGCATCGATATCGACCTATATCTTACGACAACAATAAACATGGTACATGCTCATTTGCCTAAAGACAAAGGCAAAGGAAAGGCTAAGTTCATTCCAATGCAACACGTCCCAAAGCAGAACTCTCGACCACAACTTAAGATTGATTTATTTTCAAACAAGTCGCCTAGAGATTTTTTAGGACCAGTTGTAGTCGAGCTTATGTCAGCCTTCAGCGCAAAAGAAGCAGATGGGCGGTGTAAGGCAAATGTCATCTTCACCAAGCTAAAAGACCACCTCAGGCTATAAACAACCACCTCCTACGGCCGTAACGACACCTCAAAAAGTGCTCGGCGTAGAACAATGCCAGAGAGTTTTCGATAGACTCAACCCTCAGACACGGATCGATGAGCAACCTTCAGCCAGATGACGCCTTGATTTTGACACACCATTTTATAACGAGGACTATTATGCGCGCAACTCTAGCAACTCGAGTTATTCTATGAGCCAAAAGACCTTCAAGCCACCCGAGCCATGCGACCAAATGTGGTATAGTTACAATTCTCCTACCTGCGTGTATACAGCACTTTCCAAATCGCAGAAACGCTAGTGCCAGTGAATAGACTGCATGGCCCGTCGACAAGCAGCTCAAGCTACCTTGGCTACCAAATGGCAGCCGAAAGAAATAATAGATAACGAAGATGATCGACAACCTCTAGCAACCATGGCTAAATTACTTCACGGAAAGAAGGCGATCGATCACAATTTTGAGACCACGATAAAAGAGTCTAAGAAGCACATCAAACTTTTTCTCTAGCCTAGGGAAATGAAGGCTCGTTTCGAACATCTCAGGAAGGAAGCAGAAAGCAAACTTCCTCCATTGCCTTCACAAAAGCCATTAATAAAGGTCCGATGAAATCTACACCCTCAATTTCTCGGCGAAGCCTTAGAGTACATGTAGAAATTTCCCAAGAAATATTCCATTAATGACCTGTATGGCTTACCAAAGGTGTGTCAAGAGGCGCTTGGCCTGGCATTAACTTGCCTTGATGCCGAACAAATTATTCAAAAGACTACTGATTCGGGAATGATGGCCAGGTTCTAGGATATACGAGAAGCTCGAGTTCTTGGCTTCGATGTCGACCCATATACTAACATAGATACTACTGAGCTTTCTTTCTCCCTTGAAGACCTCTAATATTTACGATACCATTTTGAAGTTTTCTCAGCCGTGTCTCTTCTAGATGCTTACTTAAACACGAAAGATGCCCGAATTACCTATCAAGAGCGTACCAGTAAGGCGTCCCAAGGATGAGACCGGTTTCTAATGTCGAGCAAACTCGGGGATAGCAATTAGAATGAAACTGGAATGCTGGATGCATCACATGAACAATTACTTGAAAAGAAAACTAATCAGGTTTATGACACTCCAAAATAGGATACTTTGCTCGATAGTCAGAAGACGACGACCGTAACCCAATGAGCCCTTCGGTTCTCGACAACATGGATATTAGCATGGTCCACATTCTACTGATTGAATTTCAGCCAATCACGTCCCAACCAAATTTCTTGGATGGTGATGTGGTTGCCGAAGAAGCAATGCAAGTCAACTTCATCATCATGGAGGAAGACGAGCAAGTAAGCAAAGAAGACAAACTCAAAGTAGCCCTTACCGAGTTGTTTCCCCACTCTTCTTCAGCCAATCTTCATCATTTAAAGTTGTTGTATGTCACAGCTCACATCGAAGGATATCCAGTCTCCCAAATCTTCGTCGACTACGGAGCAATGGTCAACATCATACCCGTCTCCATCATGAAAGCACTACGTCGCTCTAATGACGAACTTATCCCATCAGGAGTCACCATGAGTAGCTTCGTCAGAGATAAATCCCAGACTAAGGGGAACTTCCGTTAGAAGTCAATATCGCAGGTCGCAATCACATGACTGCATTCTTCATCGTTGACTCAAAGACTGAATATAACACATTGCTCGGTTGAGAATGGATTTATCAAATAGGTTGTATCCCTTCATCGTTATATCAAGTTTTCATATTTTGGGACAACAAATCGGTTGTGGTTCATCTAGCCGATAATTAGCCATTCAAGGCTAACATGATCCATGCACGTTACTTTGACGACTACGTCGACTACATCACCTTGAATGGTCTTAACGATGAAGGAATGCAGACTTAGATTTTGGTTCAAAAAGCCATCAAGGTTGGTGCCAAGACTATTCAACAAGATTCGGCGAGACTCGAGCTGGCTGACCTCATTACCGATCCTGATGTTTGATACCAAACACACCGAACACCAGGCCGTGATTTCATCTACTACGGAATGACTGCTGGCCCATTGGTATACTATTTCCAAACAACCAAATTTGGGCGTAAACCTTGTGGAGTTTCTCACCGAAAGAGATAATGGTCCCGTCTTATCCCTTGATGAAGTTCAAGCTACCTCGGTCGAGCTCGAAGATAGTCGGCCCCAAGTCAAAAGCCCATTAGAGGAAATAAATGTTGGAACGGCCGATGACCCTCGGCCGCTATTTGTTAGTGCATTGTTACCTCAATTCATGAAAATTGAACTTTGTAAATTACTCAACAAGTTTAAAGATTGTTTTGCTTGGAGTTACCATGAGATGTCTGGTCTAGATCGAAACCTTGTCGAGCATGAATTACGCATCAAAGATGGTTGTAAGCCTTTTCGCCAACCCCCTCGGTGATTCTTGACTGAAGTACAACTCAGCATAAAAGATGAACTAGTTCAGCTTTTAAAAGCCAGGTTTATTCGGATAGCTTGATACGTCGAATGGTTGGTGAATATCGTACCAATGTTAAAGAAAAGCGACGCTCTACGCATTTGCATCGATTTTCGTAAATTGAATCTAGTAACCCCCAAAGATGAATATCCGATGCCAATTTCAGATTTGTTAATTGACACTGCGACCAATCATGAAATATTGTCTTTTCGTGGACGGCCATGCTGGCTACAATCAGATCTTTATCGTTGAAGCCGATGTTCAAAAAACTGCCTTTTGTTGTCTGGGGGCACTTAGGACATGAATGGGTAGTCATGCCATTTGGCCTTAAAAATGTTAGTGCCACGTACCAACGTGCCATGAATACCATCTTGCATGACCTGATTGGTATAATCATAGAGGTATATATCACGACGTAGTCGTCAAATCGAAACGCCGCCAAACCCATTTAGATGACATTCGGCAAGTTTTCCTTCGTATGCGCCAGCATGGCTTTAAAATGAACCTAGCCATTCAGCTTATCAGTCGACAATTTCTTAGGTTTCCTTGTGCATCATCGTGGCATAGAGGTGGACGAAAACAAAGCTTGCGCAATCATGGACGCTCCACCCCCCATGACCAAAAAGCAACTTTAGTCTTTACTTGGCCAGATAAACTTTCTTCGTCTTTTCATAGCTAATTCAGTAGGAAAAATGAAGGCGTTCTCTACGCTTTTGAAACTCAAGGATTCGAACAAGTTTGAGTGGCGTGAAGAACATCAAGCGGCAAGGTTTCCTTTACAACCTCACCCGTCCTTGTGCCGCCTCGACATGGTAAACCTCTTAAGCTATACATTTCGGCGGCCAAAGAGTCTATCGATTGCCTTTTCGCACAAGGAAACTATATCGGGCGTGAACATGCCATCTTTTATCTCAGCCAGAATCTTAACTCACCTGAAATCAATTATTCAGCTGTAGAAATTACATGTTCCCTTCTGTCACTCAGGTCATCGCCCTAACTGATGTTATTCGATATATGCTCACTCGACCAATGGTCAAAGGCCGAATTGGGAAATGGACAATGACACTATCCGAATTTAGTTTCCAGTACGTGCCACAAAAAGCTATCAAAGGGCAATCACTTGCCGATTTCTTAGCTCAACATTCTTCTCCATATGGTTTCGGGGGTAACGACATTGAAAGCGGCATGGTGGAAACACGTGACAATTATTGGACAATGTATTTTGATGGTTCTAGTACTTCAGCCTCGGATGGTGTTCGAATTATCATTCAATCCCCAGATCAACATCACTAGTATTTTTCTCTCAAGCTTGATTTTGATTGCACAAATAATCAGGCCAAATACAAAGCCCTTATCATCGACATCAACGTCCTTCACGACTTAAGGGCAGCCCACGTACTCGTCCTCGGCGATTCAGAACTTGTGATTAACCAACTCAATGGAACTTTCCGCTGCATGAGTTGTACTCTGCCGCCCTATCACATGGTTGCCAGCTATTTGGACGAGTCGTTTGATGGTATCATGTTCAAACATATCTCTCGTGTTTAAAATACCGATGCAGACGAGTTGGCTTAAATAGCCTCCGACGCACGACTCTTTGGGTTGAGCTAGGCCGAGTGATACCCGTAGTATGACGATCACACTCGACCTTGGTCAATCAACAAGTTCTCCAACACGATCACGTGATCCATACACGAGTAATGTCCTTACCTTCATTGTTAGAACGAGGAGATCCTGTAGACGTGTACGCTATCGAGACATTACCAGACGATTGGAGAAGGTCAATCATGTGATATCTTGATAACCTCAGTAACAAACACGACCGCATGACAAAGGTCTATGCCACAAATTATGTGTTGTATCAGAGCGAGTTGTACCAAAAATGTGAGGATGGTTTATTGTTATTATGCCTCGGCCCGCGAGAGGTTGTCCAAGCAATTGCAGAAGTACATGAAGGAATTTGCGGGGCTTATCAATTTGGGTGCAAGATGCGTTGGCTGCTTCAACGACACGACTATTTCTGGCTGAATATATTGAAGAATTGTATCGAGTATGCACAACGATGTGTACAATGTCAAATTCATGGGCCTATACAACGAGTCTTGGCCAAATTACTTCACTCAGTCACCAAACCTTGGCCATTCAAAGGATGGGCCATGTACGTAATCGAAAAAATTACGTTGTCTTCTGGATCAGCTAAGTATGCATGGATACTTGTTGCAACAGACTACTTCAACAAATGGGTTGAAGCAAAGTCATACGCCGAGTTAACGTCTAAAAAGGTTTGTAATTTTGTGGAAGAAAATATCAAACTAGATTCGGCGTACTAGAGATAATCATAACAGACAATGGTACAATCTTTACGTCCGACAGATTCAAAGAGTGCACCGCAAGTTTAAAAATTCAGCTCAAAAAGTCCACGCTGTATTATCCACAAGCAAATGGACAAGCCGAAGCAAGTAATAAAGTGTTGATCGGCACTCTTGAAAAAACAATAAAAGAAGAGCCTGGTATGTGGCATTTAAAGTTAAACGAGGTTTTATAGGCATATTGGGCTTCGCTTCGGTTGGTAACAGGGAAAACTCTGTATACGCTAACTTATGGATACAACGCGATGTTACTAGTCGAGTTAAGTATAAATTCGTTGCGAGCAATTGAACAAAGTAGTATGTTCAGTGTCGAATACAATCAATTGATGAGACAAAAGTTAGAAGACCTGAAGGAAACTTGACTCGATGCTTATAATTTGTTGGTGGCACATAAAAAGATTGTTGAACGAGCCTATAACCAACGAGTCAGACAAAAAAGGTTCGATGAAGGAGAGTTAGTTTGGCAGACTGTGTTGCCCTTAGGAATCAAAGATCCTAGATTCAGGAAATGGTCGCTTAATTAGGTAGAACCGTTCGTCGTCCATAAAGTTCCTGGCAAGGGGGCATACCACCTTAAAGATCAAACCGGTCTAATTCATAAACTGCCAATCAATGGAAAATTTTTGAAAACATATTATCTAGTCACTTGGGAGATGCGAGAATAAAAGTTCATTTCATTAAGTTCATGAAAAAGGTGTACAAGTAGAGCTGATGGACCAGTTTACAACTAAACAGGTCTAGGGTGATGAAGGAAGAAAAACTTCAAGGACGGCCTTCAACTCCAACCACCTCACTTTGCCCATGGTGACCTCAGCTTGTTGATTTCTCTTATCCATCTTCAACTGTTCGATCCGCTTCGTGCTAGCTGTGTATTCAATCAAACAAGTTTTGCTCGACTCGAAATCCTTTGCAGGGTCGGCCAATTGGTCTTTCTTCACCTTTAGCACCTCGACCTTTAGACGAAGAGCTTCTTGAACAACCGTTGCAGCTTTCAAGTGGCCCGAAGAGCTTTCTCGAAGATACCAAAATATTCTCGAGTTCATTCTAAGGTTGAAGACACTCGGGTGACGGCGTCATTGCTCAGATGGCCGTCGACTGCAGGGTCCTTCAAACATTCTCCCATGGAATTAAGGCATTTGCATTCAAGGATTTAAGAGGCTGATAAGGATAAAAGCGCCTGTAACTTGGCAATGGCATTCGTTTCAGCCGAACCCGTTGTGGCGGCGAAGGAACCGATCATCCCTGAAGAGCTAGCAAGGAAAGGGGAAGTTTGTTCTAGGACCTGCATTAAGGATATATGTATGTTTAGAAAAATTAAGCGAGAAGAATGACAAGAAAGGGGAAGTTTGCTCTAGGACCTGCTGAGATGAGACTTTGGCTGTATCTGCTGGTTCATTGCTCGAACCTAGAGAACTTAGAGGCTGAGCCCAGTGTTTAAGGGAGCCTCTTAATTCATGCAGTCAATGGAGTTTATCCACATTCGATGGCCACTGAGGTGGCCAAGAAATATAGATAACACCTTTCAGTGCATAGAATTTTCGGTGAAATGAATAATCGGGCACCTGCCATTTAATATTTGTTCTCGGTTTAGACTTGTTATAGTAAAACTAACGAGAGAAAGTGATTGACCTTACAAAATTCGAAGTAACTTCTTGAGGATGAATGCTAATATTTTGATCCTGAGGGTGAACAGAAGTCACTGCTGTTGGTTCCAGTTCAACCAACAATGCCCTTGCAGGATCGGGATTGGCTTCGACCGAGGGAGGCTCGACTTGACTAGCCGTTTCGACCACCAGTTGGGGATTAAGAGTGGTTTTCTTGGCCGGCTGAGACCTCCTTACCAACTGGGGACCTTCACTCTTATTATCCTAGACAACAAGGGTTAATAATTAGACAAAGAGTTTCAGATAAAATAACATTATAAATTTTATACCTTTTCTTCCATGATGATCGCTGTAGTTTTCTTTGGGATAGGAAGGGAGTTCTTCTTAGCCGAAGGAGTCGCTTCCTCCAGGGTGATAGCCACCGAGTTGGGTTTGGCGTAAGCAACAACCGGGGCTGAAGTTGCAAGCTGCTCAACAGCTGAATTAATGGCTGGCTCAATCGACGGGTCTAGCTGTATCGCGATCGAAGCTTCGACGACAAGAGGAAGAAGAGAAACGCTAGGAATAGTTGCCCCCGTGGTTTGACCAGAGATAACGTGAATCTCCTGTTCCCCTTTCTTAGCCAATTTCTTGACGAGTTTTTTGGGCCGAGGAGCGTCTCCTACCGTTTCAACTTCTAGGTGAGGGCGTTTACCCGACGAAGCCGGCGCGGCAGCCTTCACCTTTTTTTGTGAGTTTCCTTTTAGCCGTAGCTATTGCAATCACCTTGGCCCTTTTTATGGTTCGGCCACCTAAAAATACAGCTTGAATAAAAAAGAAGTTCGAAGTAAACAAGCAAGAAAAGTAACAAAAAAAGTTGTATACCTTGGGCTGTTTCTTTGGATTTTGGGGCAAGAGTCTTTTTAAGGCGGTCGCCAAAAAGCTTATCGGAGACTTCCTCGACCGAAACGCTGAAAAAGTCTTTAGTATAAGCAGCGCACCAGTCGGCGAAAATATTAGCACACCGGGATTTTTGAACTTTTGGCCAAAGACGGAATTTAGCGCATTGCTCAGACAATTTTCATAAATTCATAGAAAATTTGTGGAGGCAAGTGGACAGTTGGGTTGTGCTAGCAGTAAGACTGAGATGAATGTTAAAAAAAGGTAGAGGGGGTTGTCAGGATCCGGATGTGTTACATACTGGAGAAGCAGAAGCAGAAGATAGTGTGATAGAAAACTTTTAAAATGTCAGTTCCAATCTGGATTAACATAAGAGAATCAAGTACACATAACCTTCCCCAATGCACAATGAAGATTAAATGACACGGAAAAAAAAAAAGAAAAAAAGTAAGTCTTGTAACTATCGTGCCCATATGACATTCAAGTTGCAAATTCCACCACAGAATATTTATAACAAAAGCCTAACAGTTTTCTCCTTGCCTCATTGTCAAACACTTCCTGTTTCTAATTCCAATTGCCATATATAATGAATTCTGAGATTGTTATTTTTTTAATACAAGCGATATTTTTAATCTAAACTACTCCAAGTGGAGGGGAGATAGTTTGAACTCGGGATGCACTTGGATTGAAAAGTAAGGCTCTAACCACCGAAACAAACCACCACTTGCAAAATCGGTGTTAATTTGAAAGTTACATCAAAATAGACGACATGACACAAAAAACACCAGAAGCCTCCAAAGTGACACAATAAACCCTAAAATTGAATCTTAATCCCAAAAATTCAAAACACCTAGTCAGCTATCAAACTACCTTAGGAACCCTAATTAAACAATACAAGTTCCAAACTTTATCCGTTTACTTCTCACCCTAATCCCGAATTAGCCAATTTAAACAAAAAAAAGGGACCTACCAGCTGAGATATGGCTTTGGGGAAGAGATGGTGGTGGAGGCCATTGGAGCTAGTATGTGGGGCCCTGCTCCGGAAGTGGAAGTGAGCCAGCACCTTTCGATCCGGCAATGGCCTCAGAAGCAACTCCTCCGAGAAATCTTCTTCTTCGGCGATCGATCCCGAGGCAGCTTGGGAACGGAGAATTGGGGCGGATAGTAAGAGAGAGAGTAAGAGGACCGGTCTAAGAAGAAGGAGAAGAGCCATGAGGAGGAGCGAGCGAGCTTGAATCGGAGTGTGGGCAGCGTTAAAAGAGTGGCTATGACGAGTAGTGTTTAAATTATCGGCTCTACCGGACGATATTCCGGCGATATGCCGGCAATTGGGGAGTCGGCATAGAAACTAGGAAGAGGGAGTGAAGTCAATCTTACACAAGTATCCAATATTTTTTAATGGCCTAATCGGATAAATGGTACTTGTGTGATTGTGTGATAAGGTAATCGGAAAATAGTTTAAAAAAATTAGGATTTAAACTTTTATGGTATAATCTGCTAGCAAATTTAGTTAAAAGTGATTTTTTTTGTTAAATATCCATTAAATGCAAGGATAAAAATGTACGGGTGCACCTTCTTCTTCCTTGTCTTTCTGCTCTGTTTGTAATTTGCATTTTCAGTCTTCCATTTTGGGATGCTGTACTTTGCATTATCAACACCTTCTTCTCCAGAACAAAATATCCTGCAAACCCACAACTATCAACACAAAACCCACTTCAGAATTTCAATCAAAACCCATAATTTAAACCAAAATCAACTAAAGTACCATTTTGTAAGTGGGTATGAAGAGCCTTTCAATAAAAGCTACCACAAACAAGTCAAAGAGCCATGAAGTCACGCCGAAGGAGGCCCAGAAATTCGACAGGGCGCCCAAAACCAGAACAGCACCGGGGCCGTGAGCGTCAAGTCATCGGATTTGGGGACTAGTGCTTCTATATATGACGTTGCCGCACTTCATCACCGTGATAGCAGCTCCAATCCCACACCCAGAAACATGTTATGGACGGCGTGGATCAACTTGCCGTCGCCGGACGCGAACACCAGCAATGTTTTGGAGTTTGAAATTGTGATTCTTGATGAACTAGGTAGCTGGGATTCGACTGAGGGTTTGATTTGAGTTTTCTGCTGAGAAATGGGTAGATGGGTTTTGATTGGTGAGGACGGAGCTTGGCCACTCCGATGAAGGGATCCATGTGTTGGTCCAATTGAAGAAATCCATGTGCTTGTTGATATGCAAGATGCAAAATACAACATCCTGAACTGGAAGAAAGTGAAATTACAAAGCGAAATTACAGAGAGAGGGAAGAGGAAGGGAAGAGGAAGGCGTACGGGTCAAATTACATTTTTATCCTTTATTTAACGGATATGTAATAAAAAATTACTTTTAGACTAAATATACAGATAGAATATCACCAGAAGGGTTTAAATCCTAATTTTTTTAACCACAAGACTTATCTTCCAATTACCTTATCACTACGAGTCTGATTAGGCCTTTTTTAAATGTTTAAGCTTGGGGGTTTATGGTTAATTTTAAAATAACTCAAATTTCCCTTTATTTCCATTAGTTAAAAATTCAAAAAAATACTTATGATGAAGAGAAATTAGGAAACAATAAAAAATAAATAAAACCGGTTGATCTTGAGTGTGTCGTTTTTCAAAAACAATAACATTTGTATATGTAAGTTTTTCTAAAAAAATGGTAAGTCGTTTAAGTTGTTTTGCAGAAGGAGAGAGAAATGCGAACATGTAAGGTTGGATTGAGAAAAAGAAACGCAAACCTAAACCATTAAACATGAAACGAAAACAATTCAGAGAACAAAGTTTACGATAGCAAATTGTTATTAACCTTTGCACCAGACTAATGACTAGTACTAGATATAACGGTACATGCCAAAGCAGCAAGGGAAGCAATAGCGCCAACTCAAAGAAATGTTATCACATACACAAATGCTTAGATTAATGTCAAAATTAAACCATCCTGTTTGGGTAAATAATAGGAGAATAAATAAATAAGCAAACAAACTTTCACATATATATTTTCAAGTGAAGCAGATGAAACAAGGATACCAACATTTTTCCTTTTCTATGCATTCACCTTTTTGTATAATTTCAAAAAAAAAAAAATATATATATATATCTTACAAACCACTTTCTGATTCTATCATACATAGTTTCGAAGGTGCAACAAGTAGAGGTGGTCATCGAAAGGGTTCGATCGGAGCATGTTCTTCAAAAAAGGCTGCTGCCTCAAAGCACTCGGCTGTTTCTAGCGTTGATGCCCTCGCATCAGCTTTGTACAGCAGCCCGAGATTGTACCAAGCACAAGGGTTTCCTCTGTCAAGTCGTAGCGCATCCATGAGAAAGCTTCTGGCGACTGGTAAAGATTGGCCACCGAACTGTCTTAGAATACAGGCAGCGGATATCAAGCTTGGGACGTGGGTAGGTTCGAAATCTAATGCCTTCCTGAAAGATTCCAAAGCTTCTTGCTGGAGACCCTTAGCTTCATAGAGCAAACCTAGCAAAATAACCAAAGCTTTACAAGAAGGTCCACAGTGAAGGATTATGAAAGACAGATTTCGCAACAAACTTGAGTACTTTCCTCCCAAAAGTAACAAGCTATGGCTTTTTACTCTGTTGAGATTTTCTGCTAAGGAGACAAATGCGTAGCAGAAAGTAATCACGCCATCAATATAAGAATCCAAGACGGAAAGACTCCAATGAGTTCCAGCGTTTCATATAAACAAATATAGCTACAGAAATATACCTGTAGAATGCCATCTGGAAGCAGAATGAGGATTGATGCTCTGGGATTTTGAAAGGCAGACCTCAGCATCCCGCCATTGGGACAAGCTTGTATATAAATTCGCCAAGTCGTGCCACGTCTCCATTTCCAAACTTCTATTATGGTTTCTCCTACTCTGTAAATGTATAAAGAGACATAATATATCCTAAAATTTGCTACCTAAAAACAGTTTTCTGTAAATATTAATTGGGTACTCAGGATAAACTTTAATAGCATATTCCTTAAACATCTCAAATAACAAATAATGGTTACGCATTATAACACTAAAATATTGTCAAATCAATATTTGGAAATACATGAAGTTTATGATCCACTAGTGTTATGAAATAATGCAAAATTTGGCTACAAGTAAGAAAAGATTTGCCAGCAAGACAGTGAAGACACATTGCAAATATAGTAAATGGATCACAATGAATTACCACCATTTACCTTTAAAAGCCTCTTGTCAACACCTAAGTTTTTAGTCCGAACTTGAAGAACAGCCAGAAGATGGGTGTATGTTTCTATGGCATTCTTCAGCTGGCCTTGTGCAATATGTAGTTTTGCTTTAGTTCGCAACAGTTCTCCTTGATCCCACTTCCCCGTCTGATCTAGAGCAGCATTGATTACAGTCTCAGCATCAATGAACCGTTTTTGAGCTGACAATATTCGTGCCAAAAGAGCATATGATTTTACACTGGACCCAGCCTCAAGTTTTAATAGCTGATTTGCATAATAAAGTGCAATATCCAACTTCCTTTGCTCAGCGAGTTCTAGACAAAGGTGAAATAAAATGTAAGGATTCCTATCTTTCGTAATTTTATCAGCAGTTTGTAGTGCTTGTATTGCTTCAGACTGCTTCAAAATCCTTTCAGAATCGGAAGTGACTGATCTGGATTTAGCTGACAGGGAAAGACCAAGTAGGCAATTTGCGATAGTCGACATTTGGCTGCATTTTCCATCCAAATCTGACAGTGCCTTGTATGCGTATTTGGTCCCATCCTCAATGCAAACCAAATTTTCGCAGCAAATCTTCGAAGCCAGTAACAACTCCAGAATGCAGTCTGTGTTCTCTCGATTATTTAAAATATTTTTCAAAAGATTCAAAGCAACCAAGTCCTCACCTTCACCATAGTAACAAAGAGCTAGAGTGCAAAATCTTTCTTGTCTTCCCATAATTCCAGGAATCAATTCTTCAACCTGATGGGCTAGGGCCCTCACTTTCCCTGAAACGGACAAGGCAAAAGAAAGATGATCAAGGATTGATGGGTCCCATTCAATTGTTCCAGCACCAAATTTTCCTAGTAGAACCAACAACAGCAGAATAGCTTCTTCTATATTGTTTCTTGGCACAAAAGAGCTTTCCATCTGTGAACGGAGATTTGGAGGGTTTGCATCACAACCACTGTACAGGAGAAAAACTGCAAATTCTTTTTCCATCTTTGAAGCAAGTTCAATGTCAAGATTCCAACGATAGAGGAGAGCCTGCCGGTATGATAAGATAGCTTCTTGGGGAGCCCCAGCAAGTATCCACAACTCTGGAAGTAACTCAACAGCTTTACCTACAGTCTCTTGTAATTTACAATCTGAAGCAAAGTTTTCGGGCAAGCCATCTGGTAATGCAGATTCAACAGTGTCCAAAATAAGTTTGCAAGATTGAGCAGCTTCTGCAAAATTAGGTAAGCAAGTAAAATTAGCTCTACAGAATATATAAATAATAACGTGTATTATCTTAATAATCTTACACATTCATAATTTTACGACTAGAAAGCACAGCAGAAGCGGCCAAACTATGCAGCTTAATGTATCAAACACACATGCATGAATTTCCGTTTTGGTTCAAACTTTAATTGTGTGATTGACAAAAGTTATATTCTTTATAAAGTTCTATAGTTGCAGACGAAAACTAAATGATCCAGGGAGCATTCAAAGCTCATAATGTGAAAACATATCACAGACAAGACGCAAGAAAGTTGCAAAAGTATGAACATATATAAGACAAACAGGAACAGGAAAGTGAACAAGAGATGGAAGGATACCTCCAAACCGTCCAAGGCCCTGCAACGACTTTGCTTTGAGAAAAATAGCTTCAAGGAGTAAACTAACAGCATGCATTGACATGGGTGGGACAGAATCGCTTTGAGAACGGCGTCTGTTGGTCTCGCATCTTCGAGAAATGGAGACTTTCATCTTGGGAATCACACCAGCAATGTCAATTCCTTCAAATACATGAAGAGCAGCTTCTGTGTTACCTTTTTGATACTCAAGCCTTCCTAATAGAGCTCTTGCTTCCTATAAAATACACAGGTTTCTTAGCTTTTGGAATTATATGGATACGACTGAATATTCAAAGCAAACTGCAGCATCATATAAGTGTAACCATGCAGATGATTTGATATGAGGTCATTTTGTGAAATCTGAAGACTCTCCTATTTAAGAAAGGTTGGATTCTATCAGTGGAATAATTGACCAAATTCCACTCCTGCAAGAAATTAAGCCTGGTTGGACTTCAGTGTCCCATGACAATGATTATCCCAAAACTAATTTGTCAAACAAACTTTCCAATTTCATCCAAATGGCAAACAATGGCACTCAAGATTTTGTCAAAATTGGCGTTACGTACTTGAATTACTAAATGCATTATAGGTATCTATTTATTTTCACAGAAGAGATGGTTATAAAAAAAGGTTTTCTAGCCAAAATGGTCCCTAAGATTGGCATAACTCCTCGCTTTGGTCCTTGAAATTTAAAATCGATAGAAATGGTCTTTGAATTTGTCCACCGTCAATCACTTTGGTCGTTCCGTGAAAAATCTCCGTTAAATTGAGGGTATTTTTGTCAAATCAACCCCTCCACTTGCTTTTTCACCCTTTTCTCTCATTTCCCTAAAAAAGCCACTACGTTGCTGATTTTGGCCGAGGGAAATGGGTTGAAGGGTGAAAAAGAAAGTAGAGGGGTTGATTTGACAAAAATACCCTGAATTTAACGGAGATTTTTCACGGAATGACCAAAATGATTGATTTCGGTGGACAATCTCAGTGACCACTTCTATCAATTTTAAATCTTAGGCACTAAAGTGAGTTGTTATGCCAATCCCAAGGACCATTTTGGCTAAAAAGCCTTCTAACTAATGAATTAATTTAGGTTATATACCACTATATACCATATAGTAACAGCTAACACAAACAACTTAACAATTTGAAGGATAAACTCAAAGAAACAGTCACACAACATAAGTTTTGACACGATCCTGTTATAAATTTTCAGGACTATAAGGGCAGAACTAACCACAAAACATAATCATTCATAGCATTTGCAGCTGCACAAAATGTGCAACTTAATTCCATTCTACGAAAATGTTCAGATTTGTTCAAGTTGTTGAACTTCATAGATAAGGGCTGACAAACAAGGAATTAAACTTAAAACAAAAGCCAACAAGGAAGTAATAGGTATGTCAAATTCAGATGCAACCAACCTCATAGTTCAAATAGCCACTCTCTCGCAGAGACGACTCAGCTTCTTCGATATTGCTGTTATCCACCTTTGTTTCTACCTCACCCGTCCGCGATGAGTAGCCAGTGCCACCACTAGCTGAGTAGTCCCGAGTAGCAAGGGAGTCGGATGAATGAGGAACTTCATCTACCCTTAACTGCTCAGCGGAACGTATACACTTTAGCATTTTTTCCAACCTCCCTTTAATGCTGAATCTTCTCTTACTCATCCACTTCTTAGTTCTCATACCGGATCATTCCAATCGAACTGTTTCCGAATTAACATTAACAAAAAAAAAAAAAAATCCAGAAACAAATTAGGAAAAAAAAATCACAGCTTTTCAATGAACATACATGACAGAGCTCTCACTAGGTTTACACTTCATACACTCATAGATCATGACCAGAAACACACCCATTGACGGTATAAACATATTTTTTTACTATCAACTCCTAAATTCCCATAATTCAAAATTCCAAACCTTTCCCTACATATGGAAGATTCAGCAATATTCAGGAAACCCACTTTCACAGAATCACCAAGATCCAACATTTGCAAACATTAATCATCCAACTAGCTCATAAAACATGAAAAGCAAGGAAATTTAAGAGAAAAACCCAGAAATATTCAGAACCCAAGTTTCAATTCAGCACAAAAAACACCACAGCACTAGAAAACACAACGATTTCTGGAACATAAAAGTTGAAGAGTGGGAAAAACCCATCACAGCATGAGAGAAGAATAGCTGAGATCAAAAGCAGCTTCCAAGAAAGCACCTTTTGGCTAGCAGCAAAAAGCATTGCCTGAGCCCACAAGCCATCAACAATTTCCCCATGCATGATGCATCCCCCTCTCTCTCCTCCAATTCATCCAAAGAAAGGGGTCGCTTGGACTTTTCCTCCCCAAGAATCCAAAGCAGCCAAAGTGTCCTTTTTTCTCTCTTTTTTTTGTGGGTTGCTTGAGAAATTGCTAAACCGTTGTGGTTCCGGAGCTGCTCAAGTTTGGTGCATTAAATTACGAATGCTAACCCCTTCAATTCAAAGGTGTGAACAGAGGGAAGAATACGGGCACCTGTACAATCACACGAAAACAAATAATCAATTAATTAATTAATTTTAAGAGTGCCAGGCAATTCCACTCGAAAGGATTATCCTGGGCCCACTTTGAAAAATTATTCCCCTTTTTTCACTTTATGTGTTAACTGCCGGCCCCGGCAACAAGATAAAGGTTGGACTGTAATCACGAATTTCACCCACACTGTGCCATGCATTTTGGGTTTTTTTTTTTTTTTTTTTTTTTTTGGGGTGAATAGAGGGAATGAAGTTCCAGACGAACTAATACATAGCATTAATAACAATAAAGCGGCCTATAAGAGCAGTTCCATCCCTAAGGACTTTACGTCAGCACCCAGCACATTTATCCACTCAAGTGAACAGTAATAGACCATAGTGAATAGTAATAGGCCAAAGCATCTCCACCCCTAAAAAAAAAAAAAACCTAGTCCATTTTATTAAAATATTATTATTTTTATTATAAAATAATAATTTAATTTTAAATTTCTAACTTCTTCTTCTTTTCTTCTTCTTCTTCTTCTTCTTCCCACTTTTCCTACTTTCTTCCCTGATTTTCCAACTGTGTGGTCAAGCACAGTTTTTCGGCCTTTCCACTTTTCCCATTGATTTTCCAACTATGCGGTCAAGCACAATTTTTCGACAGATGAGGGCTTAAAGTTGGTGACGGCGTCGCGGCCACAGAAGTGTTGTGCAGCAATGTCATAGGCCCTGGTGGCCTTGTCCTCTTCGTTGAAGGTACCCAGCCAGACGCGCTGGTGCTTCTCATAAATCTGGGCACCCCAACGTCTGTTGGCCTGCGAGACCACGCCTTTGTACTTGGAGGAAGGGAGCTTCTGGGACTCAGCCTCGATGCCGCCAGTGCCGCCGCTGCTGCTGAGCTCGCGGTCGAGAATCACGATGCTGGCGCCGCTGCCCTTTTTCTTCTTCCCTTCTTCATCTTCTCTCTGGACTCCCTGCTTCTTCGTCGTCTCCTCGCCGGAGCTCGCCAAGGAGGTGCTCCACACCCAGGGAATCAAATTCGGGTCGAGGGAGGCGTGACGGTATCGCCTGGCGTCATGTAGGCTAGGCAAGAGCCCAGCACATTCTGAGCCGACCTAGAGACCAGCTTGGGCTGGGTGCCAGCCTATCTGCTCGGCTGGAGTGGATTGGCTGGGTGCCTGGCCACACTTAACTTTTGCTAGTCCTCGAGCAAAACAAAACAACTAAAGTAAACAATACGAAACAAAACAAACAAAACATAACCTCAACCTTCCAACGTTTGCCTCAGGGATTTCCAATGAAACATGACATGTCAAAGATCATTACTCACATAGCTTTTAGTCTTCATTCCCCTCAAGCACATACTTAATCATAGTCACCATTCACTAGTTCGCATTTCATCAATTAAAACATATTTTGAATGTAGTAACATGCCTTAGAGAATTCCCTCAATTCCTCTCTAGTTATGCACTCAATTTTCACTCAGATTTTCTGACTACACACCCTACACTAGTTATATGTGAGAAGATTGATTTAAACATGAAAGACTAGTACTCACATATGTTATAACAAAGAAAGCAATTTCTAGAGTAATTAAACGTGTTTGGATATGATCTCATGAATGGAATGCTACTACTTAGATGCGAGAACCAGTGACACCATATGCTCATACCAAATTCAAACTCCACAATTGAAATGCACAACACTCCAGATAGAAGTAGAGGGTTGTAACGGGGCTCGGGGTGTTGGCTAACAAGGAAAGGTAGGGATAAACAAAAGTTCTTTAAGCAATAGCAAGCAAAGTAATGAAATTAAGACCTAGAATTCCCTTAGAATGCAGAAATCAACTTTTAAACAAATAGGGGAGATTCAAATAACTTTTAGGGCCTAATTCATTGTTTTGGACCATTTCTTCAACAACCAATACTTTTCAACTATTTTCAACTGTTTTTTTCACTTTTTTCTTTTCTTTTCTTTTCTTTTTTTTTTTTTTTACTCGTGCCTATGGCACATAACTCACATCAATAATCCTTCCCCCACACTTATTTCCTGCAACACATTAATCAAAAGAGAATTCATTCATGCTTACTATGCTTCAAGAACAAGGATACGGATGGTCCTAATCTAGGCTAGGTGAAGATAATGTGGGTTAACAAAGAAAGTAGGCTACACAAGGCTCAACGGGGTTAAATCCTACAAAACAAATGAAAAGGGAAATATGGCAATTTGGCTATGGTGTTCACTACACAACTTCATCTTGAATATGTGTTATGCAAATCAATAACATGCTTTGAATGAAATGGGCATGAGTTCTAGCATTTGGAACTAAGTGATAAAACGCCTTCTAAGTAGTAACCAAGCAAAGAATAATGAGATCATGCAACGACTTAGAAAACATTAATGCACAGATTTTAACTCTCCAAATAACGTTTAGGCTCAAGTCTCACAGGGATGTAGCGTTTGTTTAAGTTCCTTCCTTCAAGCATGTTACAAAAACTGATTTTTTCTTTTGTGATTACATGTGAATTCGTAAACTATAACTACAACCAAGCATAAACAAAAAGTATATCCAACGTCCAACCATGTTTGTAACTTTCTTTAACCATCATGCAATTAAAAACCAAATCCTCATCATTGTGTTGGAAGGTAACCTACGACACAAACAAACACACAAACACAACTCTTTTTGGGTTTTTCAAAACAATTTTTCAAATTTTTATGGTATTTTCGGATTTTTAAGACAACAAACTCTAAAACACTCTAAAATAGCTTAAAAACACATAAAAACAGTGGGAAACAAGTTTAGACATGTTAGGTGGTAATACCCTACGAATTTCATGCAAAAATATATCAAAACAGAATGTTACCCCCCCCCCCCACACTTAAACTAAACATTGTCCTCAATGTTTTAGACACAATTAAAAATATTACACAAAACATAAACTAAGCAACAAAGGAAAGGGTTTAGGGACGCAAATCTGAGTGTGGAGCGATTCCCACGTTCTTCCTTTGTTGATTGCATGGGTTGCCTCCCAAGTAGCGCTTGCTTTAACGTCTTCCAGCCAGACGAAACTTCCATTCAAACTTCCCTAGGTCCCACGGCATGGAATTGATCCTTGAATGGAAGATGATACTTGAAGTGAACCGGCATTGGTTTAAATTCTAGAGTGGGTGCCTGGATCATTAACAACATATTAGTATAAAAGAAAATTGAAATTCGGGGAGGCGGCTTACCTGTGTGCTCCGACAAGAACTCAAGGATAAATACATCTTCTTTGAACGTTTCAGGGACTTTGCACTCACCCAGATTTGGTGTGAGGATTGGTCCTTGTCCTGTGTCATAACGTTCAACTTCTTTGAGGTTGTTTGCCTCAAGTATATCCTCTTTGATGAATTCTAGACATTCCCCAGTCACATCTTGCTCTTGATTCTTTGGAAAGGATTCGAAGATGCCTTTCTCACCCTCTTCTTCCTTGGATTGCATGATCCTGCAAGGAATAGGGACATTCAGTGGAATGGGGTTAGAACTAATTAAATTTGGAACAACCTTACTTGAATTAGATGGCGTGGGAGCAATAGGTGCCTCCGGCAAAGGTGTTTCCACTCTCGCCGTGGGTTGGGTGTATTCCTCTCCCTTGTGATTTGATTTTGATGGTTTAGGGTCCGTTCCAACCTCCTTGTCATTTCTCAACATGATTTCCTTGGCAGTTTCAAATTCTCCCTCCGGATTTGCAATGGTTGAAATAGGGAGTTTGCCTTGATCTTGAAATTGTCCTACGAACTCCGCTATCTGCCCAATTTGCTTCTCCAAGTTGTCCACCCTCTTATCTTGGATTTTCCTTTCTTTGCTTTGAGTTTGGACTTCCTGCGTCAAAGTAGTAAGTAATTGAAAAATCTTATCATTATCACTTGAAGTACTTACATTGCTTTGGGCAGGTTGTGGTGGCTGCATAGGCGTTGTATAGAACTCCTCATGGGGTTGCCAATTTTCTCCTTGTTGAGCCTCCTCGACTTGGTTTTGTGAGCCCTGCACCAAACAAAGTAATTCATTAAGCTTTTGATTATAATCTATTGACGAACTTGAGTTTGGTTGGGCATATTGAATATGAGGTTGTGGTGGATGCATAGACGTTGAATAGAACTCCTCATAAGGCTGCCAATATCCGTCTTGTTGAATATGTTGAGGTTCCCACCATATAGAGTTTGAATGATCACTCCAATCCGAATTGTAAGTATTGTAAAACATGTCGTTCCTTGATTGATTATGATCAAATGTACCAACTCTTTGCGTTTGGTACTCTTCCTTAAGCTGTGACAAAAGAGAAGCACTATCAAATGTCATGTCTAGCGTCTAAAATAAAACTATAAATATATACACACAAATGAAAATAAAACAATCCAAGAGATTAGCAAAGTTGCTAATCCCCGGCAACGGCGCCAAAAATTTGATGCGAACTAAGTAAGCACACAAATTAAAACCCTCTTGTGATAATTGTAGTATATAAATAAGTAGGGATCGTTCTTAACCGGGGATTAAGAGGGATTGCAAAATCACTTGGAAACTGACTCAAAAACGTAAAATAAAGTTTGAAACACTAAACTAGACTCAAAGAATGCAAAACTAACAATAAAAACACTCAAACAAATCAAAAGACTCAAAGAATACAAAACACTTATAAACACAAATTAAGACACTTTCTAACTAAATTAGACACTAAGGTAAAGGGGGATTGTGGTTTTGACGAAAATAAATTAAATGCACAAATTGTAATTTAAAGGCAGAATTTAAATATGAATGTGATGAAATATGGAATGAATGCTAGCTAGAAGGTTCTTCTCCACACATGTCACACTTGCATACATTTTGATTTTCAGTTGGTCTTTCGATGAATTATGAAACTCAACACCCCGGGTTAATTAGGTCCGCTTAAATTAACCGTCAAGTTTTCCTTAAGTTAATGAATTGGATGATTGCATGCGACAACCCAAAGCATTCCCCACAAGTTCCCTACATGAATTGC